TCTGTATTAACTCTACCTTCATGTACACAGGGATCTGTATTAACTCTACCTTCATGTACACAGTGATCTGTATTAACTCTACACTCTACCCACATGGACACAGTGATCTGTATTAACTCTGCACTCTACCCACATGTACACAGTGATCTGTATTAACTCTACCTTCATGTACACAGGGATCTGTATTAACTCTACCTTCATGTACACAGTGATCTGTATTAACTCTACACTCCACCAACATGGATACAGTGTTCTGTATTAACTCTACACTCTACCAACATGGATACAGTGATCTGTATTAACTCTACACTCTACCTACATGGAAGAAGCTATCTGACCGTAACTTAGTGAAATGTGTTCCTCGGTGAATGCAACTTCGAAAATGAGGGAGCACAATGCATGTTGCTTCTTCACGACCGCAGCATCCTAGCGTGAGGCAGTATCCTAGCGTGAGGCAGCATCCTAGCGTGAGGCAGCATCCTAGCGTGAGGCAGCATCCTAGCGTGAGGCAGCATCCTAGCGTGAGGCAGCATCCTAGCGTGAGGCAGCATCCTAGCGTGAGGCAGCATCCTAGCGCGAGGCAGCATCCTAGCGTGAGGCAATGGGATATTTGGACCTATTTGGAGGCAATCCCCTTGTTGTTGTAATGGGAGAAAATTGGAGTGTTTTTTTTATGAAAATTTGCCTCAAGCAAGACGGGAAATACAACCAAGCCCGCCTCTTTTACACTGAACCATGGTTTTCCTTTTGGTTAAAATACTCTCTGAATATCTTTTTTTGTTGTTGATTTGTCAACAATATGCCCCCCCCCCAAAAGGTCGTATTGACAGCAGCGGAGGCCATGGGCACAAGAATGCACTGATGCCCCTAAACCTCTACAGACTCACGACCGTGGAGGGGGCGAGAGGGTCAATCGTCGCATGTGAATGTGATTCACATTTACAATATTAATTTTGTAATTTGCCGATAATATCGTGGGTTAAAATCAGGAAACGTGCTGTCCACTGACTTTTAAATTAAATTAAATTGACAAAATATTTCAACATTCATTAACAATATGTAAAGCACGATGCCTCTAAAAAAAAAAGTGAGTCTCCCAGAAGCGTGAGGCCCTGGGCCAGTGGGCCCATGCCTTAAGACCGCACTGCCCCCCTAACCCACCCTCAGCGCCTCCAATAGGATCAATTACACCATAACTTACAATACACAACAAAGCAAAGGAAAGGGAATATCCACTCTAAAAATACGTCATTCCAGATAGGGACCGTCCGTTAACTATGTCAACATTCTAAGGCAATTTTGACCCCCCCTCCCTCACTCTTGTCAACAACTGTCAAACCTTCTTGGGTCCACTTAATTAATTATGTTAAAATGGTATAACCCTCATCCCAATAAATAAATTCGCAATTTTTTTCATCATTAGACATAGACATTTGGCGGGAAGCAATACACCCATTACATAAAAAAATAATAAAAAAATTGTAACAGCTATGACTAGAGTCAATTATATAATGCAGAATGTTTTTTCAAAGTAATCAGTCAGGTCTTAAAATTGTTGTTGGTAAATTTAATGTTAGTTCTTATCATGTCTTATGATTATTTTACGTTGACGAGCCAAACGTCCCTCTTTCGCAGTGGCGTGCAGCAACTAATTTTATCATTTCGATATTTAAAAAAAATCACGCAACCCGCTGACGTCATTCTCGTCTAGTCTGACGTCATCCTTGTCTAGTCTGACGTCATCCTCGCCTAGTCTGCCATCATCCTCGTCTAGTTTGACGTCATCCTCGTCTAGTCTGACGTCATCCTCGTCTAGTCTGACATCATCCTCGTCTAGTTTGACGTCATCACCGACTAGTCTGACGTCATCCTCGTCTAGTCTGACATCATCCTCGTCTAGTTTGACGTCATCCTCGTCTAGTTTGACGTCATCCTCGTCTAGTCTGACGTCATCCTCGTCTAGTCTGACGTCATTCTCGTCTAGTCTGACATCATCCACGCCTTGTCTGACGTCATCCTCGCCTTGTCAAACCATTCATCACTTAAACTGTCAGCTATTTCTCTGTGCGCAACAAGTGCCATGACCTCTGCGTGCCATGACCTCTGCGTGCCATGACCTCTGCGTGCCTTGACCTCTGCGTGCCTTAGGGCAGCCACTCGAAATGGGCGCATCATTTCTTCTTCTTTAGGAGCAGGTTTGAATGTCTCTCCATCGCCGGTCTCAACCAGACCATTAGAATCTTGGCCATTATACGCGTTTTTAGAGCCATTTCAATTAAAAGATTATTTTGCCACAAATTATGATTTATCTATTCAATTTTTATGTCAAAGAAAATATAATTGTTGACGTCAATTTCTGTCAACAATTGTCAAACTTTTCCCCACCCCCCTATCCACCCACCCCCCTATTTTGTTGACGTGATTAATGGATGGACCCTTTCATCGGTGTTTTGGATCAAATTGTTTCTTAACAACTATGACGCTAACAGTCTTCAAAAAAAAAATTAGTGGACCCTAATCACATTTTTAATTCTGCTAGTCTGAGACTTTTGCCCGTTAAACTGCCACATCCCACCTACCCAACCCCCTTTTTTTTACACACGGAAATCCGCATCTTTCTGGCCAAAAGAAGATGGGGGGGGGGGTGCTATGACATAATTAACACCAAGACAACTCGAGGTCCTGCAATAGACGTTAGGCGGACGACGGTCTTCAATTATTTAGTCTTGTACTTGAAGGACGCGAGTACGCAAACATGGTAATCGATGCCATCACTTCACATTCACGGTAGAAACCTCTTCTTACCGTCAGGTCTCAGACCGTGGTGAGCAAATACCATTAGCTGACAACCGCATTTAGTTTGAAGGATGCAAGTGTCATTTGATCAGATGGGGAAAAAATAGGTGTGGGAAAAGGGAGGGTGGGGGGGGTTATTTGGTGGAGGAAAATCAAACGATATCTGAAAAGTGGGGAGGGGGTGGTGGTTGTGGACAAAAAGGTTAAAGAGATGATTTGATAGGGGCTTTTTTTTAAATGGAAAAACTGATGTACAGTTGTTGATCTATAGAAAGTTGATGTACAAGTTTTGACCCGTGGAATGTTGATGCACAAGTTTTGACCAGTGGAATGTTGATGCACAAGTTTTGACCCGTGGAATGTTGTTGCACCAGTTTTGACTCGTGGAATGTTGATGCACAAGTTTTGACCCGTGGAATGTTGATGCACAAGTTTTGACTCGTGGAATTTGATGTACAAGTTTTGACCAGTGGAACGTTGATGCACAAGTTTTGACCAGTGGAAAAAAATGAGTTTCACGGGTTCAAGATGAAATTGTTTCCAACACATCCTGAGACAGAGTTTGACTTGGCTGGTAGAACTAACAGTTGCACATGATACACAAACAGTTGCACATGATACACAATCGATTGTATCTGATACACAATCGGTTGCATATGATACAAAATCGGTTGCATATGATAAACAATCAGTTGCATATGATACACAATCGGTTGCATATGATACACAATCGGTTGCATCTGATACACAATCGGTTGCATATGATACACAATCAGTTGCACATGATACACAATCGGTTGCACATGATACACAATCTGTTGCACATGATACACAATCGGTTCTAATCATGCTGTACAAACATTACATTACAGACAACATTATTACCATTCTTAGAATTGAGAAATGTTTATAATAAAAATACTCAGTAATTTTTTTTGTATAAAAAGCGAGTTTTTCAGAAAAAATGAAAAGCTATTGACCTATTTTATAGAAAACGTGGGGGGGCTGCATATGAACAAAACGTATCTTTTTGTTGGGAAGATTGAAGCTCTTAAAATGCCATTCACCCTAATCCCCAAACATTGAGATCGACTTTAACATTGCTGCTAATTCTTACATTCAAAATGAAAACGTTTTTTTAAAAAAATGTAGATCTTTATAGACATGTGTCTATAGGCAGCAACAAATTATTCACACAATTTTCACAAATCAACTAAATTAAAGGGTTATCACAATTTTTAAATTTTTTCCTCTCTGTCTTAGCGATGCAAGTTACTTCCGGTGGCAAACTTTATCAAAGGAAGTGATACATTTAATGTGACTCGGATGTGTGTCGGTGTTAGGTGGTTCTCTTTGACAGCAACATCATGATCAGATTGAATTACTGCCATATGTCAAGTTTATACGGGTTAAAATTTAATAACTGTATATGCCATGTTTATATGCCATGTTTATACAAGCATTCGTCATGACCAAACCCAATAAACTAAATGTTAGAATCCTACACTTTATTTTGACAGTGGCTGGGGCTTTATAAACAGTTGGCCATAAAACTGATGGCAACCAAGTGGAGATTTTAAAGTTTAGACTCATACCAAAGTCTGTCACTCACAGGTGCTTTAGTCTAAAAACAAATGTAGTGAGAACAGGTGCTGTAGTGTATGACCAATGTAGAGAGCAGGTGTTGTAGTCTATGACCAATGTAGAGAGCAGGTGCTGTAGTGTATGACCAATGTAGAGAGCAGGTGCTGTAGTGTATGACCAATGTAGAGAGCAGGTGCTGTAGTCTACCACCAATGTAGAGAGGAGTTGCTGTAGTCTACCACCAATGTAGAGAGCAGTTGCTGTAGTGTATGACCAATGTAGAGAGCAGGTGCTGTAGTGTATGACCTATGTAGAGAGCAGGTGCTGTAGTGTATGACCAATGTAGGCTAGTGAGAAAAGGTGCTGTAGTCTATGACCTATGTAGTGAGATGTCCTCAATATAATATTCCAGTTGCTGGTCACACCCAGAAGACAGTATGACAAAAAAATGAGATAATTAATTCCTTTCCTGTTTGAAATAAATAAACAGTGGAACAAAATATGTTTAGACTTGAAAGAAAAGACAGAACAATTAAAATGATGTTTTAGCTAAATACCTTCTTCAGCAGACAATACAACAAAGAAAAATAAATTATATAAAATTGAAAAACTTAAGTGTTCCCAGATCACAATGGGGCTCTGATGTCTCAGTGTAGATACAAATACAGATGACAGTGTAGAAATACATATCACAAGTACATACACAGGTGGAACTAAAATTATAATATAATAAATATGATTAATTAATATGGTAGCCTTATATATTTTTATTAATGGCTCTGCACAAATTTTTATTTCAACTGTTCTGTATACAAAAGTTAAAGGAAAAAAAAAAATAACAGAAAGTTACATGAATGGTCTTTGCACAGACATATTTTACAACAATGATTCTGTCATCAAACTAGTTCAAAGTGAATGTAAGAGCAGACAATTTTGACTGATCTATATAGACATTTGAAGTTTACACCTCTATGTCGATGTTGACTTAGTCTAAGTGTCATCTGAATAATTCAGTTCATAACACAATGACTTAAAAAAAGAAAAAAGAAAAGAATCCTTAACAAAAAGAAGATTATGATATCATCGTGATTATTACAGATTAAGAATAGCTAACCCTTGTGATTATTTTTTTTTAAATTTAAATGTTTTCTATAAGACAATTTGGTCATTGTAAAAAAAATAAATATATAACTATACGCCTTTTGTTAAAGTATTACATTGACAGGTATCTTAACTTTCATTCTTGTCATGTCATTGACACAGTCAGTCTCAATGACCGCATCCTTGTCACATCATGTACACAATTTCTCTAATTGGACTCATCTTTGTTACATCATGTACACAATCTCTCTCACTGACCGCATCCTTGTCACATGTGCACAATTTCTGTCATTGTCCTCATCTTTGTTACATTGTGTACAAAAACTCTCTCACTGACCTCATCTTTGTTACATTGTGTACAAAAACTCTCTCACTGACCTCATCTTTGTTACATTTTGTACAAAAACTCTCTCACTGACCTCATCTTTGTTACATTGTGTACAACTCTCTCACTGACCTCATCTTTGTCACATCATGTACACAATCTCTCTCACTGACATCATCTTTGTTACATCATGTACACAATCTCTCTTATTGAAAAGCTACTCATCATCTTTCATCAGGATCATCCTTGACATTATAATTTCTAACTTTCTGTTTCAGCCTGGGTACATTTTTCCCTGTGACCTTACTGCTGAATGATTTCCCCGTTGTTTGTTTGAGAGCTGACTTAAGCTCAGTAGGAGCTCTCTCACCTTTCACCACAAACTCTCTCTTTTTGCCCTGGTCACCTGAAATAAACACTTCAGTTTAATTGGCTCGGCATTCTCATTTTAATAAAAGGAACCCAAAAGATGTCAGCTGTGCACCTGAGATTTAGATTTATATCTTGGACAAAGTAGGAAAGAAAGTTTGAATAATTGTAAGAACTTGGTCAACATAACACGCCCCCCCCCCCACCCCAAGATCATGAATACTATAAATGTCTCTACAAACAAAACCAATAGAATATTTACATGGTGTTATATAACCACAACATATACGTTCATATCTATAAATACAAGTATATATATATAGATGTATATATATATGTGTTTGTGTGTAAATATATATTTAAATATATCTATATCTATATACATATAATAAATAGGATAACATTAAATAATAATGATATAAGAAATAATGTCAAATAAAACAGTTGAGATACCTGGATTCAGAGTTGAGGTGGGTCTGGCAGCGGGCATCAATGAGGAACCATAACTGGTGATAGAATCCTCCAACATTTCCCACACCTTCTGGATGGATTCACCTCCCCCTGATGACATGCTCATCAGCATCTGAGAGTCCGCTTCTCTGGGTGTGCGATTCCCTCGAGGAGGTGTTGATTTAGCTTTGATGGGTTGGAGGCTATCAAAGTAGGGTTGGGCGTGTCTATCAGAATCTGGTTATAACAGAGACGAAATATTTGACATTAATATTGAAGAGGGCTTTTTCAGGAGTCAGTACTGTATTTCTAACCACCAGCTGGTACATGGCAGAGTGGCAAGTTGTGTGTTGGCTAAATTTAACTTTTTAAATTCACCTTTGCTGAAACACAAAATAACTTTAATTCCCATTTTTCTGTATAAAAAAAAATCATCCATTTATGCTTTGTTGTATAATAAACTGTAGACTGGCACATCTAGTTTCATACTTTTGTGAACAGTTGTGCAATGATGCAGAACAATGATTTTGGTTAAGTGAAAGACAATGATATATAATCTCAAGTGTGGGTTATAAATAACATAACAAAAAAAGAAAGACATAAAGCAAACTCTCTGACAGAATGACAAACTTATGACAGATTTAAACATTTATTTTCAGAAACCAATTTATTTTATTTTTTATCAGACTTTATAAACAAAAGGACACCAAGAATTCATAGATCTCATTGAACTAACAACCTATCATAGTACATACCACTCATATCTCGCTCTGGGATTTCCTTATTATCGAAAGACTGCTGAACGTTGATCGGCTTGTCAGCTTTAAACCTCTGGGCATATTGCAACTCCTTTGAAGGAAAAAATTCATAAGCATTTATGTTATTTCCAATGATTATTGAGTTTCAAATAAGCAATTGTTTATTTAACCTCAATGAATAATTAACTGCCTTGTCTGTATTTATTTATTTATTTAGGCATTTTTATATAGCGCTTACCTTCAAGCTCTAAGCGCTTTACAATTATTAAAAACATGTAAACCAACTAAAATAAAAATGAGACATTAGGATAGTAACTACTATACTATAGAAACATTGAGTAAATAATTTGTGCTACTGTTGCCTTACGTACAAACCAAACATACCTGTTTAGTCAATTGATACTGCAACTTTTCCAGCTCTGCCAGTCGGTCAGATTGGCTGTCCAGCTTTGAGGCCTCTTTTGACCTTTCATTGTTGTCAAATATTAATGATTTATGTTCAGAAAATTGTACAGATTGAGAACCTGCTGGCTTGTGTTGGGAGCTCTTTTCTGCAACTGGGAATAAAATAGCAAGTTAGACTAATTCTATTTCATTAAAGTTTGGTCAATAATATTTTTGTGTTTTCAAATTAGCAGGACAAATACAGCAATTAAAAATTTGAAAAATATGGGGTCAGTTATAGAATTCTAGTAGTACAGTAGAACCCGGTTATGTCGACGGCCTTGGGGTTTGCCAAAAAGCATTGAGATAACTGATGATTGAGATAAACGAAAACTAATATGGCGGCCATTTATTATCTTTTGCTTGAAATTTCTTTATGTACACGATGAGTGTTTATAAATGAGAATGTACATGCACGTGTTTTTGGAATTTATTTTTACACAACAGCATTACTGTGATTTGTTTGATAAAGCGATCGGCATGCTATTAAAAATGGACATACATGTTTGCTAACAACACAAGGCATATGAGGGGATCCACTTTTCCAGATTATTCCAAATTCGTGAGGCTAAATATTTTTCAGCTCCGGATTCGCAAGTTTTAAATTTTCTCTTGCTCCGGATTCACCAATTCAGTTTTTTCAAATACGGATTCTGTTGTTTTTTTAAAAAGCAACATGTAAGAACACATGAAAGCCTATTAAGCGACGGATGGGTTTGCTATAAATGGAACAGTTACTGCAACTTCTCTCTTTTGTTTGCAAGCCTCTCGCTTCTTACTGTGACAAGTTAATTGTGCGGATGACATTGTCATTTCAATTACTCCGGTTTGAAGTAGGCACATTTCTGTTGTATATAATTTTCAAAAGCCCGCGATTGGTCATGGGGATTGAGATAACCGAGGTTAAGTGGAAAATTTGGCGGCCTTTTGTGCTCGAGACATCAAGGGTCAGCAACATAAAAGAATCAACATAACCAAGGAGAAAATGCTCAGAAAGAATTTAGCGGTTCCACTTCAAAAATGTTGACATAGCAGGGTTGTTGAGTTAACTGAGGTCGAGAAAAGTGGGTTCATCTGTACATCGTTGACATAAATGATTTGTACTGGGAACCAATGATCAAATTCTGTTTTATACATGTTAAAATTTTTTATTTAAATTCAGAAATTCCGTCAGAAAATTCTCAAAGAAAGCTTGAAATAATTCGACATACACTTACTTGATGCTTTCAGCTCTGTTCTTAATCTGTTGTTGGACTCTGTTAGCTGCTGATTTTCTTTTGCCAACTGTATAATCTTGGAGGCCGCCGATTTGAGTTTATTTTTCAAGTCGCCTACATTGGATTTATCTAATCTAGTCCCCAGGTAATCAAGGTTTGGATCTTCTACCGCCTCTGCTCGCTTGCGGAGCTGACTGAGTTCGGTTTGTAGTTGCTGGATGTAGAGCTCCTGTAAAACAGACATTGGAAATAATCTTTGACAAAAAGCTTTTTTTTTGTAAATCAACTTTATATAGTGAACAGAGCATTCTGATTTTTTAATGAAATATTAGACCTAACTCTTTTGCTGCGGAATATTTTTATTAAAAAAATGTACGTTATTTTTCAAACAGCAAGACAGAGTGAGAGGTTGGGTTTATCAAAAAAATATTTAAAGTATTATTTTTTTGTTTATAAGACTAAACTTGGTATCAAATGAAAGATTATTGAAAGGACTATATGTTTGTAAACTTATGTCTTGACTTTAAATAAAATAAATTACAGAAAAGAACCATAAAACCATTATGCTAAAACATTTTTTCCCCAAATCCTATGATGCACGCATACCTCATCTTCACTTCTATAACTCAAATCCTCTAAAATTACTAGTATCGGAATCATCCGATGGATCTAAATATAAATCCCCTTCACCATCACAAGAAATAGTATAAAACAATTCCAAAGCTTTTTGAGATGTTAATCATGTAGGAAACTTAGTCATAGAGTAGCCATAGCAACAGTAGAATAAAAATAGCGAAGACAATCATTAAAATAATGCTTCAAATTACAACAAATAAAACTTGGTTTCGCTTATAAACAATTAATTACCATTCTTCTATGCAAAAGTCTTTTTTAAAAATAGCTCTTAAAATGTTTAACCGAAAAATAGCAGAGAAACAAACATGATATTGAAACAGCACACAGCGCGTTGGTCCGTGCTTTTGAGAACAGGGGATGAACGCAGTGTGCCTTGTTCCGCAGCGAAAGAGTTAAAGTGAAGTTTCTGATTCACTAACTGCAATATATACTGTAGATTGACACTTAAAAAAAGGAACTAAAGTGGAAAACTCATTTTTTTTCTTCTAAAAATTTTTAGTTAGTTGTCTCCTCAATATATAAAGGACTTCATTCACATCATACTATTTGATTTACAAAGTCAACTATATTTTCCTCAACATTTCACAACACAAAAATAATCAGAGGTTCAGACCTGAGCTCCAAAGTTGATGGAAGGATTTGTTTCTGACAACTCCATTTTCATTGATGAGAGCTGTGGAATGTAGGACCAACAGAATTTTACTATAGACAACGCCTTAAATAATTTCAATCACTAAATAAACATTATGTAATCCACACAGACATGCTGAAAGTTCCAATTAGAATAACATTTTTAGCTACAGGGAATAACAACTTTACTTACCACTAGATCAAAAAGTTATACACAAATTTATTTAGAAATAATGAAATACGCCCAGTGTAATTAAAATAAAAAAATTCAATAAACCTGATTTCCCAGAGCGACTAACTCTTCATTTCTCTCCAAACTTGCTCGATGATATTCATCTGCTTCTCGTCGAGCCTCGGTCAGCTGCAGTTCCAAATCACCAACACGTGTTTTGAGCCCATTTATCTCTCCTTCATATCTGCGTCGACAACTACTGAGTTCATAGGTCAGTTGGTCAATCTGAATCTGCTTTTGACGTGGCTAATGACAATACAAAAAAATTTATTTTATCGTACTCTGAAAATCATCTTCACTCAAGAAAGGATTCCATCAAGAAGGCTATGTTTCAGAAAAACTTTTCTACATGATGATTGATAATTTAAAATTATATAAAAATTAAAAAATATCATTATAGAGTTGTTTACAGATTTAATAAAGATACAAAACAAATTGACCTGCTTGGAAATATCCTCAAGAGAATTCTCTAAAAAGGCCATCCGTGCTTGCTGCTTCTTCACTGTGGCGGCCAGCTCAACTTTTTCGGATCTAAGATTTCCTTTGTTTTTTTTAGAAAAATTAAATTTGTTTGAAGTCTTTGCAACTACAAATAGGTCCACTGCCCACCTAAGATGACCTCATTTTTAAGAAATGAGAAAACCTTGCAGAAAAAGACAACTGGAATTTATGACCTGGTCTCTTCCACATGCGCCTCCTCCCCCCCACCACAATTTCAGCTTTATGAGTTGTAAAAATGTCATATACTTGGGGATGACAGCTGCAGATATTTTGGGAAAGATGTTGAAATTTAATGTCTGTCAGTCACATCTAATTCTGTATAAGACCTTAATTCAAAAGTCATGCCCACGCCAGTGAGACTTCATACAAATGTGTTTAGAGAGTTTGGGGGCGTTATCCTCATAATAATAATGACGCGTCTCTTAGCTGTCCTAACAAAATTAGTATAACATTTACAAGAAAACTATGAGTGTTAAGCTTTTTCAACTGTTTTAAACAAACATTTTTTTACAATAAACTTAAACCTACCACGATACCCAGAAAAATTTATAATGATAAATGATACATATAAGGAAGATTTAAATGGTTTAGAACAAATAAGCTTAATAATGCACATCATAATACAATACAATTGATATTTTAACACATAAAAAATCAAAGTGTAGAGAAAGTGGAGGCATAGAAGTACTTAGGTGTCACCATTAATAATAAGCTAACATGGCATGAGCACGGCCAAACACTGTATAAGAAATTCAACCAAAGACTGTTCTACCTCAAACTGTACAATTTCGGCTTAAACAAGCAAATCATTAACTTATTCTACAGTTCAACAATTGTAAGCCTACTTAATTTCAGTATTACCTGCTGGTGTGGGAATTTAACATCTGATATTAAACACCACATAAACCGACTAATCAAGAAAGCCAGGAACACAATACAAACTAAACATCCTTCACTTGAAGAACTATTTGAAGAAAGATGTTTTTTGCAAAACTAAACACATTTTGGATGATACATCCCACCCTCTTCATCACAAATATTTAGAATCGGGCCATTCGGGATGAATTCTTTCCATCAGGGTGAGGACTGAAATGTATAAAAATTCGTTTGTTTCCCAATCTGTACGAATTTACCGGCGTGCTCCCTCTCAAGTCATACATCTTAATGAGAACTAATAAGTCCCCGATTTGGCTAAGAGAACTCACTGAATGGCTGTTTGAGATAATTTATTATAAATGTCTTGTGTTCAAATTGTTTTATTTATGTGCTGAAGATGTATAATGCAATCAAAAAACATTTCCATTTATTTGGATCAATAAAAGAATCTTATCTTATCTTATAACTTAAGTGTTTGAACATAATCAGCTATCCACTGATTCATTGATGCAATTGTTACATTTTGGACGTATGCTTATTAAAATGTTCCCCTAGAGGAGTTTGTGATTGAATTTACAGTTAATGGACTACGAACAATGTTGGTCAATAAGCTTTTTTGAAAAAGAATAAGTCTCCTCCTTAATGTAGTAATGGGATGTCATTTGTCATCAGTGGTGTGACATGGGTAGCTATGAAGGATGTTGTGACATTTTTTTGGATAGATTTGTTCCTTAGATACTCTAGGGTGGAAGAAATGCATTTCGGGTCATGGGAAATGCCTGGATCTGGAATCTGGCTGGTCCAAGGAAAATGTTTGGGATGTGAAAAGGGTTAATGAGATGGCGCATGTTGCTTAGGTTCCATTGGGAATTCACAGAGAAGCAACTCACACATCATTAGAAGGACGCACCACTGCATGGCCCTGTGAGGGGAATATGGTGTTGCTACCGAGCTGCCAGTCAGACACATCTCTGCACTAAACAAAAGGGATATTGCCCTGGGTGTCGATTTTCCCAGCCTGCTCTCAAAGGTTCTTACGTTGCCAACTTGATACTCCTTGAGAGTAAATACCGCTGAAGGCAGCGCCTGTGCCAGCTTAATTGTTATTATTGTTGGACAATTGTAAAAATTGTAAGTTAATTGAACCTTTGAGAATTTAATAAGTTTAAGACAAACATACCTATTGTAGCATTGAGTCCCAGAATGTGATTCTTTACCCCGTTGTTTCCTTCAAGTTGTGACATCACTTCCTTGCTGACACTGTTTGCCATGTGCAATGAAATGGTGTTTTTTCTTGTCTCTTTCAACTTTAGCCTCAGTTCTTTGTTTTCTTGGCGGACCTCCTTCAATTCTTCTTCATAATTATTCACAGTGTCTGAAATGTGAGACATTTGACTCCATTAACTATCTTAAATATAGAAATGAATAGCCAAAAGACACCAACAACTGAATATCTTTTAGGCAACAAGATTTGTGAATGGAAATTATTGAAATATAATGAACACAGTGATTGCATTTATGGGTACTTGATATTAACTGTGCCCTTTCGGGATATACTTATGAGACTGGTCATTCTTCCAGGCACCTCTCATCTTACCTGTCTCAAGTTTGGGCACCTCTCATCTTACCTGTCTCAAGTTTGGGCACCTCTCATCTTACCTGTCTCTAGTTTGAGCATCTCTCATAATACCTGTCTGAAGTTTGGGCACCTCTAATCTTACCTGTCTCAAGTTTGGGCACCTCTTATAATACCTGTCTGAAGTTTGGGCACCTCTAATCTTACCTGTCTCAAGTTTGGGCATCTCTCATAATACCTGTCTGAAGTTTGGGCACTTCTAATCTTACCTGTCTCAAGTTTGAGCATCTCTCATCTTACCTGTCTCTAGTTTGGGCACCTCTAATCTTACCTGTCTCAAGTTTGGGCACCTCTTATAATACCTGTCTGAAGTTTGGGCACCTCTAATCTTACCTGTCTCAAGTTTAGGCACCTCTCATCTTACCTGTCTCTAGTTTGGGAATCTCTCATAATACCTGTCTGAAGTTTGGGCTCTTCTAATCTTACCTGTCTCTAGTTTGGGCATCTCTCATAATACCTGTCTGAAGTTTGGGCACTTCTAATCTTACCTGTCTCAAGTTTAGGCACCTCTCATCTTACCTGTCTGAAGTTTTGTCACCTCTCATCTTACCTGTCTGAAGTTTGGGCACCTCTCATCTTACCTGTCTCTAGTTTAGGCACCTCCCCACCCAGTGCCTCCATCTCCTGCCTCATCATTGCTATCAGCTGTTTAAGACTTGTGTTTTCTCTCTGTAACTCCTCTATGTAGTCCAGTTCATCCTCTCCTTTCTCCACAGTATCCAGGGAATACTGAAATGACAGAACAACTTTTCAACAAGTTCTGAAGTTACTCTCTTATACAAGTACCATATTCACATTTTAAAAATAGATTCCATTCAACTAAATAATGCTACCGTAATAGAGTATTTAGATAATTTTCTTACTTTAATAAAGTTATCCAAGGGGATATCGGATCTCTTAAGTAAAGCTCTCAGCTGGTCTCTCTCTTTATGAAGGGACTTTATCAGCAACACTTTGTGGCGGAGTTCTCTTTCCCTTTCCTTTAACAAGGCTTCAGACTGAAATATTTTAATTTCATTGAGAATTAATTCTTTAAATCACCATAGAAACTTTATTTGATGTCCATTTTAAACCAAATATTTAATTTCAAATAGAATGTTGACTGGAACAGAAATTATTTGAATATTTACATTTTTTTTCATTCAGTGCAAACAACTTTTTGTCATCTTCTCGTTTTGCTGTTGACTTCACTATCATCATGTTATAAATATTTGATATCAAATATAATCCATAAACCGCTTATAACACAGGATGACTGCAGTAGACAGAACAAACGATGACTGCAGTAGATACAACACAGGATGACTGCACTAGATACAACACAGGATGACTGCAGTACATACAACACAGGATGACTGCACTAGATACAACAAAGGATGACTGCAGTAGATACCAACACAGGATGACAGCAGTAGATATAACACACAATGACTGCAGTAGATATAAAATAGGATGCTTGCAGTAGATACAACACAGGATTACTGCAGTAGATACAACACAAGATGACTGAAGCAGTTTTCATAGATTAATTGAGTTATTATGATTACCTTATGACATCCATCACAACCTTAAGGCAGAGCTTACAAAGACTTGAAATCATTTATTTTCTTCAAAGCTATTCAAATAATCTCATCCTTCCTAATCTGATGAAGAAATCAACCTTTACCACGACCACAACCATTTCCATAAGCAATGTTTCAGTCTGTTACAACAGTCAAGTTGGCTTCATATCTTCTCTTTCACGAATGTCCTATCTCAATGCATGTACTGGCATTGATATTGTTAGTAGGTTAAACAGAATCTAAATAGATTGGTGGCTTACATCATTCCTCGCTGTGGTCAGTTTTTTAATAAGATCCTCAGACTTGTCGTATTGTTGTCTCTCCAGATCTTCACAACGTCTCTGCCAGTCCAGCTCTGACTGCATTTTGGCTTTGTCCAGTTTCTCTTCCCTCTCAGCAGCTGCTTTAAGTTCATTTTTGTACCTGGATATTGAACATTTATTAAATGGATATTGAACATTTTTTGTACCTGGATATTGAACATCAGAAGCCATTGCATTTCTTGGCAGCCAAATAAATTGATTAATTTTGTTATAAATAATAGTTCATGAAATAATTATCAGATTAAAAATTTGTTATTCACAGAAAAATGGATCAAACACAAAGACTTAAAATAGAATAAGAACTTTAGTTGTACAGTACATAGCCATTTTTAACATGATCAACGTATAACGCAAACTCCTTTTTCTTTGAAAAAAGCAATAAAATGCTATATACATTATTAATAATACAATATCAATTGACGAGATAAAAATGTATGTAAAATGATAATGTTACGATTAATTAAATTATTAACAGTAGCCATACAGAAACAACCATGCTAATATCCAGTCAAATGGGTAATGGTGGCTTTACTTTCTTGATGTGCAGATACCATGAGTGTTCAACCTCCAAATGTGAGTGTTCAACCTCCCAATGTGAGTGTTCAACCTCCTAATGTGAGTGTTCAACCTCCCAATGTGAGTGTTCAACCTCCCAATGTGAGTGTTCAACCTCCCAATGTGAGTGTATCATCAAGATTTGGTTGCATGAGTATATTTTATGTAATGAAATATTTCCTACACACCCCAGTGTGTTGAATTATGACTGCAATTTTTAACTAGCATTTTTTTACCTAAACTTTGTGCATTATACCTGTAATATAGGGTAAGTTTATAACTAACAAGGGTAAGTTTATAACTAACAAGGGTAAGTTTATAACTAACAAGGGTAAGTTTATAACTAACAAGGGTAAGTTTATAACTAACAAGGGTAAGTTTATAACTAACAAGGGTAAGTTTATAACTAACAAGGGTAAGTTTATAACTAACAAGGGTAAGTTTATAACTAACAAGGGTAAGTTTATAACTAACAAGGGTAAGTTTATAACTAACAAGGGTAAGTTTATAACTAACAAGGGTAAGTTTATAACTAACAAGGGTAAGTTAATAACTAACATTTCTAGATCTTCTTTTCTCTGTTCAAGTTCAAGCTTGAGTCGTCTCTGTTCTTCTATTGCAGTGCCAAGTTCAAGGTCTCGGCTGACATGTTCTTTTGATATCTCAGCAACATGACGATCCCATCTCTCCTTCACTGTTTTGATTTCTTCCTTCAGACTGTAAGCAATATTTGAAAATATTACCTCAATGTAAGTCTCAATATCTGATATGTCATATTTTAAAATATGAGTTCACTGTAGGTCTCAATATATATAAAATGTCACATTAGAAAATATGAGCTCAATGAGTCTCAATATATAATATGTCACATTATAAAATATTACCTTTATGTAAGTCTCAATATCTAATTTGTCATATTATAAAATATGAATTCACTGTAGGTCTCAATATATATAAAATGTCACATTATAAATATGAGCTCAATGAGTCTCAATATCTAATATGTCATATTTTAAAATAAAATATGAGTTTACTGTAGGGCTCAACATATATAATATGTCACATTATAAAATCAAATAACCACTCTTAAAGTCAATATTGTCACTAAGGAAGCTAGTTTATTTTTGAGATGATGGCTGATTGATGCACTTGAGAATAATAAATAATTTCAATGTCTTAGGTTTAGTTTGTTCTATTTTAAAGATTGTTCTCTTAATCACAGTGCTTACTCACATGCTGAATATGCAGATGTACTATGTCATCAAAACACATTTGCCATAGGGTCAATAAAGAATCTTATATTATCTTAAAACTGCAATTTTTTAAACACAAACCACCCTGTCACTTTTAGCTTTATTTTGATTTGATGTATGGTAGTATTTATTAGCAAGTCATAAAAATGTGCTTCAAATCAAGTGTAAAATTCAAATGAAGTGAAAAATTCAAATCAAATGTAAAACTCAAATCAAATGTACAATTCAAATGAAGTGTTAAATTCAAATGAAGTCTAAAATTCAAATCAGGGGTAATATCAAAAGCAATTTTTATCTAATAAAGTGAAGAGTATTTAATTACTTTTCAATCTGAATTTCATTTTCCTTGATTAGATCTTGTTTAGACCACTGCAGTTGTCTTTCCCTGATCTGAGCATCCTCTAGTTGAGACTGCAGGTCCCGTATGGTGGTCAAAAGAGCTTCCTCCTTCTCATGGTAGCCATTCTTGACTCTCTCAACTGTATTTTCTTTGTCTCTGACCAGCTGATCCATGTCTGTAAACCTATGTAAAAAATTTAAGAAAAATAAACTATAATCCTGGTTGAGTCCAGTTGATCATTGCTTCTTTAGGAATAACCTAATATACAGCCTCAAAGAAACAGATTAGTCATCAAAATAAACATTTATTTCATAAGTGATGGTCAGAAATGATCAGCAAGACCTTTAGAACATACGTGTTGAACCTAAGTTGAAGTCACAAGTTTTTAATTCATCCCCTATAGCAGAGCTTTGCAACCCTTTTTCAATCATGGCACACCTAAGGCTTTCCGATAATTCTGCGGCACACCACAAGTAAAAACATGCAAAAATATAACTACATAATGTAGTTAACATTCATTATGATCTGTTATTTTACAGAGAATTTCGCCGTATTAAATGTCGCTACTTGACAGATCTCTGCCATTGCAGAGTTTGTCAGCCTGTCAGTAATGTCTCCTTTATTTATGTATCTAGGTACACTTTATGCTTCTGATATCTCTTGGACGTGTTTTGCACACCTGGCATTATCTTGTGGCACACGTGTGCCGTGGCTCACCGGTTGCAGAGCTCTGATCTATAGCACTATAGCCAATGTAGGGGGTCTGGGCTGTACCATCACTCCCAATTAATCCAATCCATTACCATTATATCCCATCTATTACCATTATATCCAATCCATTACCATTATATCTCATCTATTACCATTATATCCAATCCATTACCATTATATCCAATCTATTACCATTATATCCAATCCATTACCATTATAACTGTTTTGATAAATTTAAATTTTAAACATTTCAGACTTGGTAGATGCAGTGAGAAGACATTATGTCATATAAGAAATTTAATAATTGTTACAAATTTAGTTTTTAAATTTCATTTACTGGTACATTAATATACCAGAAAAACTTTAATGGATTAGTAAAATAAGTTAAAGACTCAAGTGTTGAACCTAAGTTGAAGTCACAAGTGTTGAAACTAAGTTGAAGTCACAAGTGTTGAACCTAAAAAAAAGTCACAAAACATTTTTCAGGGAATCCACTAGATCAGGAAACTGATCAGTAAGATACAGAGATTCAACACTCACTTTCTTTGGAAATCATCTTTCAACTTCTTCATTGATGATTCACTTGAAGAAACTCTCATTCTCAGATCAGCTATCCTGAATAAGAAAGACGATTTTGTTCATTTATTTGAGTAAACTCTAACTTGACAATTAATATTTCAGCCATTATAAATATCTAAAATCTAAATTAGATAATTTTGAGCACATGCAATAAACTCATAAAGTAAACTTTACCCATTTATTTGCTACAAACAATAAGCTCATACTCTCTAACTGCTAAAAAAGAATTAGACCCCACTCTCTAACCACTTCAATCATTTAGATAGTACTCAGTAACTACTTCAATCATTTAGACAGTACTCATTAACTGCTTCCATCATTTAGATTGTGCTCTGTAACTACTACAAAAAAAAAAAAGATACTCTCTAACTACTACAAATAGTAAGTTCCAACTCCCTACTCTATAAACAATATTTTAAAAAAAGGGTTTCTACTCTCTAAATACGTCAATCATGTAGACCATACTCTCTAAATACGTCAATCATGTAGACCATACTCTCTAACTATGTCAATCATGTAGACCATACTCTAACTACGTCAATCATGTAGACCATACTCTCTAACTACGTCAATCATGTAGACCATACATTTTAACTTCCACAAACAATTAGAACATACATTCTAACTATTACAAATAGTAAGTTCCATCTCACTGCTCTATAACTACTATTAAACAAAAAGGGTTTCTACTCTCTAACTACTACAAACAATAGACCACACTTGTCTAACTACTACAAATAATTAGACCACACGTTCTAACTACTACAAACAATTGGACCACACATTCTAACTACTAAAAACAATTAGACCACACTTGTCTGACTACTACAAACAATTAGACCAGACTTTATAACTACTACAATCAATCAGATCACACTTGTCCAACTACTACCAACAATTAGACCACACATTCTAACTACTACAAACAATTAGACCACACTTTTCTGACTACTACAAACTGGAGTCCCTACTCAGCATCCTTCATGGCAGTGGTGTCTGTCAACTCCCACTCTCTCTGTTTTAAGAGTTTCTCCAACTGTCTCTGTGTGTCTTCAGCCTCAGCCATGACAGTGTGTGTCTTATCATAGCAATCCCTGGACAGCTCAAGTTCCTTTTCCAACACCTTTACCTGGAAATAGAATAGTTGATTGCCATTGATTTTAAGTCATCACCAAAGATTTTGAAAGAAAATGGTGTCAATTAATTAATTATTTGTTTTTAATGTTCTTTATTTTAAGGATAAGAAAATTGGATCACTCTCATATAACATAACAACAAATTCTACTTAGTTAACTGTAAATACTGGGTGAGTTATCTCTCTTACCTTCAACTCGTACTCCAAGGCTTTTGTGCTCAGTTCATCACAGCGGAGTTTAAACTCATGCTCTCGTTTTTTAATAGCGTCATCAAATTCTTTTAAAAAGTAAATTATGATTGATTGACAAAATAATGACAGGCCTTGTGTCTGGTTATTTTATTTCTATTTCTTTTAATAAAAATGATTGGCATAACAATCTAAGCTAAGCAAATAGTCATACATTGTATATGTAATAACTATTATTTTATGTATATATTTATTTTATCTCTCATATAAGAAACACAAATCATCATTACAATAATTACAGTCAAGTACGACGTGGCAAGATTCAACCTAATGGTAATAAGGTAACACAAGCTCTGAGTGTCACTTTGATAGCTGCGGGTAAACCACAGAGCAATACCCTAGCCCATACGCACCCAAAATTAAAAGAAGCACAGCGCTGAGAGCTGGGCCCTAACCTCCTTTTTGGTCACTCATGCATGGCAAGTGGTCATCCCATGACCAAATACAAGACAGTGACGTCATTGTTCCCCTGTTTGTCCTATATCAGGTAGGGCCCATGCAACCAATTTATTTTCAATTGATGTAGATGACTTGTAGCAAGGAAAATTAGTTCTTAAATTATTTCACCCGCCTGTATGGCCGATTCATCAGTAAAAAGCATGCTATATCCTTTGTGTAGAGTACTTTTATAAAGTTTTTGTGATTGGCGATTCCTATTCATTATTGATCATGTTAAGCAGTGTTTTAGTTTAATTACTTGTCAAGCTCATTGAATGTACCTCTTAACAATGACATCGCCATAGTTAGACATACGCCATAGTTAGACATATGGCAGTGTGCTATGTCAATTACAGACCTGGTGTATGAGCATTTACATCTAACACCTACTATTTATATCATTCTAGTTTTACAAGCTGAGATTTGCTTAAATTCAAATAACCTTAGCGTGTACATCAGAATCCAACGAATGATTAAACTTTGTAGAGCTTGAGTTAAATGCACTGCTATGCGCTCGCTTGTACAAGACATGGTGCTTGCGCATGTAGAATCCTGACAGTCATATCGTTATAGGAAATGTGCAGCCATGTGGTTAAGTTTTAAGATCTGATTTCCTTGGATTTATAAATGAAATTTAAAACTTAATTTCTCAACCACTCACCCACTCGGCACATGGCTACAAACAGAACTAAGATTTGTGAAAGTAGACAGTTACCAGAAGTTAATTCTCTCTTCTGAATGTCCAGTTCATTTTGAACATTGACCAACTGTCTTTGCAGGTCTCTCCTGAACTGTTCATACTCCTTCCTCTCATCCAGCAGTTCCTTGTCCTTACAACTATAAAATAGGAAACATTTGAAATAGATAGCTAAAACTAATGGAATAAAATTTATCAATATATCAAATTTTAACGAACAATCTGTAGCGAAATGCTTTACAAGAATCCAAGATAAAGAAGCTATAACAGAATATCCTATACTAAATTCTTACCTGAAAAAAAAATGACAGCAAAAAATCCTTCATTTGATTAATGCAAAACAGTAGAATTGATTTTGTTTTAATTGAAAAAGAAGGCAGAAATATAATATAAAAGAAACAGAAAATGAAATTAAGCTCTTTTGAGCTACCCTAAATCCAATTAGTTAACTTACAATGACCAAATGTCATGTCTATAAAACTTATCAAACTTTGTGATTTAGGATCTGACCTCTTGTATGTATCGACTTCCATTTGTTTTTCTCGAATTCGTCGCTGATAGTTAGCTTGCAGTTCATCCTTTGTTTTCTCTTCTCTTTTTATAACATTTTTCAAATCATCAAGATAAATCTTTAACTCGCTAATTTCAGCATTTTTTTGATTTAGGGCATTTCGTATTTCTAAGGAAAAGAAATATTAGATATTTTTATTTTTTAGAAAATCAACATAATTCACTGTTCTCTTTAAAATTTTGCATAAATGATTTCATTTAAACATTAATTTAATTGTCAAATACCTGGTTGCATTGCTGGCCTCAAAGAAATGTGAAAATTTCATTGATTTAGAACTTACTAACATTACAGATATTTGAAAACTATATGACATTATTTTATCATCTTCCAAATTTAAAAGAAATTATCTTATTTTAACATTATAATTAATCTATGAAGCTTGTTTTACATTTATTAGCATGTGTTACCTGAGAATGAGATGTCATATTTTTCAAGCTCTCTGTCTCTCTCTTCTAACAACTTTAGGTTGTATTTGAAATGCTCTTTTAATTCATTAAATTTTATTTTTTCAGAAGCAAGCTCAGTGTCTTTCTGTTTAACTTCTCCCTCAAGAGCATTTATCCTGAAATTGATTATTATTTTTTTTAATATTTGGATCTATGCCATAGATTTTACAAGATAAAAATTGAATGGAAAGCTTTAAATGTTGGCTTATTTTCTAATAAAAAATTAGTAATTCTTTTTGGCAAAGATCCCCCAAAAATGATGCAATTAAAATAAATAATAAATAAAATAAAATATAAAAGGGGCATGAAGTTTTCCATTAGTTTTGGAAAGTGCGCACATGACATAATTAGCCTAGCTAGTTATTATTTGATTACTTTTAAATTCATAATTTTACTTGAAAAAAGATCACACAGTGCTACAATTGTACAAGGAAATATGTAAAACAAGTTATTGGAAAAGCTCAAGAAAAGGCCCCAACAAATCAATGTACAATAACATACACTGCTGATATTGCAAAAATAGATACAAAGTATTCCTTCTTTTAAAGTTAATAGATGAGGGTATTTAAAATCAGTAATCAACACTAATATATTCATAATTAATGATAAATAGTTGATACTTATAAAACCATCCCATTCATTCCTCATTCAGTTTGGGGGATATCTTCAATATAGAAGCTTTCAAACTGTACACAAATAGTTATCAAATATTTTTACAAAACATAGGTAGACAAAGATTTAATTTAAGTTCTCTTGAAATTATGCAATTTATAATATAAATAAAAAATAGTTAACACCCCAGACGGTAGTCCAATTATTTTAGAGAATAATTTATTCCATGTTTAATGTTTAAATTAGTGTAGAGCCAATATTTTAATTGAAGCAACCTGTAATTCATATGGATAACACAATATTTGAAAGATTAAATCTTAAAGCAATGGGTTTAAAATCTCTATTCAGAGATTTTATAAAAGTAATCCATAACTGCATAGTTTTGTGTGAAATAAATGTTACCTTGATTCTAAGACTTGTCGCCACTCTTTCTCCTTCTCATCTGCAAGCTTTTTCCAAGAAGTTGAGTCAGACATTCTAACACACTTATATTAGCTGCAGATAACCAGCTTTCATTTGCAACATTAATTTATTATTGATAATTTATGTCTGCAAAAATATATGAGCCAATAAGTTATCAAAGACAAAGAGTTACCCTCCAGACTTTAATGTTACAAATTAGGTGTAGATACTGCATCATGTAGGGGATTCATTCTATGGAGAATATTAATATATTTTGATTTCTTGCATATGTCTTTTATTTTATTATTTATTCTCAAACTCAAGTGATTGTGAATTAAAAAGGTTCCTAGAATTAACTTTAAAATTATAATAGTTTAGAACAAAAACTAACTTGATCTCTAACTCTAACTGTTTAACATGTTCAAGTTGAATATATAAATAACTTAATTTTTATTGTAGAATTTGAGACCTATTCAAACTTAAAGAAGTTAAAGATAATTAATATTTGTTAAAATGAATACAATATTTTTTCCTTCAAAGAGGAAATTAAACGGATTAAAAAGTAGAAAATGATTTAAAATATCTAAAAATGCATTACGCAAGCAGAGTCTGTGAACAACAGTGGTAAGGCACTCTATAAATCATGAATACAAAGAATTGCATTTTAATGTAGAAGAAGCTTTAATTATATTTAATATTAATATGTTTTATTAATATTTGAAAATAGCTTCTGCACACAAAAATAAAAACAATGATTGCACTATTTATTAAGTACTAATAGTTTTGTCCCCATTACTAGCTATTTCTTGTGAAGGTGTTTAACATTACATAGGCATAGGGGCCTGCCCTGTAGTGCCAAGTACCACTTAAGTCTTTAGAAAGTAAACACTACTACTAACTACTACTAGAATCTATGACATTGACAGCTATGAGGAAATGATCACATTTTGCCTCAGGCTCAGGGATGGCGGGGAGGTCATAGTGATCTATAGTAGGAAATCCACCCCTTACAAAATGTAAGCCTTTAAGGTCTAATATAATATAAAGGTAGCTACCACTTTTTATTTTGTGATCCTCGTGTAGCCAGATGGTTCACCACCAGCCATAGGGGGTGCCGCTTTGCAGTGCCTACCCTGGGGGAGGGCTCATGAATAGGGATTTGTGAATGATTTTTAGTATTTTAAATAGTAATAGAATTATAGTTATAAGTAAAGTGACGGAAGTAATAATTTTTAAATAATGGTTAAAAAAACAATGAAATTAAATTTTAATAAATTAGGCCATTATTTCATTATATATTTATTGAAATTGCAACGCTTTTACACGAGATTAACTTGATTTAACTGATAAATAAATAAAGAATTATTTATTTTTTTTAAATTGACGAGTTTGAATACCTTCGCAGAGACGCCATTTTAGCATTAATGCTTGACAACTACTCTCTTGCAAAAAAAGTAAGTAAAAGTAAAACCTTTTCAAACTTTTATATGGAAAAATAAGGGAAATTTTTATTCGCACAATAATGAATTAATGAACACTGTTAATCCAGTAGGTGAGTGTTTTTCTCTCGAGACCCCGGGTTTTTTTTTTTAAGGAACAGAATTCCCAGAAAATTTTACCATCCCTGAAAATGCAGGGTACGTTCAAGAACTCGTTTTTAATCCCACCGACACTTATTTAAAAGGAAAGTGGCAAATCCCGCTATTGATTAAAAATGCTTTTAATAAATAGGGTGAAGGACTCTTGGAAAGGGAAACATTAAAACGATATTTTTTCAGTAATGTGATTAATGACAAATTATTTGATGCCATGATTGAAATTGTAAATCAAATTCTAATGCAACAATTAAAAAGAAAACTTAAAATCCCTATTGCTCTGAGTATATTGTTTCAGGCGGCAACCCCACGGGGGTTGCACCTCGACATAATAATGCCCAGGGAGGGAACACTCCCAAAATTGCGTTCCTAACACACACATCAATTATACATTGGTGCACATAACCTCAAAAGGTGTTTCGACTCTCACGCAAAATTGCTTTGTCCCTGCGTCATTAACGTGTTCTTTGTATAATTTAATAAATTATACTGATCGGGTGTTGTCTTCTGAAGAGAAATGTAACTAGCATTAGCCATAGCCATTGCTCACTATTGAGATTACCCTTAAAGTTTTCGTAGTGCAAAATCAGGAACCCTGTTTAATACCTTTGCAAGTGAAATTCAAAAGATAGAAAATATATACTTAGTGAATGCTGTTTTAGTGTGCAATTTTGCGCAGCGTAAAATCTGAGAACGTTGTGAATAACGATTGACTTAAAGAGACATCAGTGTTATTGCAAATTCCAGAGGTAGATTTTTTGTCAAGGAATCTAAATATTTAGAACAAAAACGGTTTCTTGATCCATAAGCAACACACGATTATTAAATAGTCACATTGTTATATACTCACAATAGAGTTTCATAAGTTTTTAATTATAAGAACTTATGAGTATGTGCCGGGTACAAAAACGGCCTTTCATTGCCATAGGATAAAAATTAAATTAAATTTTCTTGCTTCTAATGATGCGTACTGGTTTATGAAGTTCTCAAAGTCAGCTTTCTTACTTTCTTTTCTGTCTACGCCGATTTCATAGGTAGATTCCGCAGTTGCATAAGACTACCAAGTTCTGTAGAGTACTTATCTTTACAACAAACTAAGACTGTTGGTCTCTGTCTTTAACTGTTTTTGTTGTCGAAGGCTTTTGGCCGAAACTTTCACTTTCTCTTATTTTTCCTTTCAGGTTTTCTTCCACCCTTTCTATACTTAGACTTCTTATTACTTCATGCTGAAGGCACTGCTTCTCGTATATTTCCCTTTCGCCGAGTAGAGCAGGATCACAGAGTCTGCCTTGTCCCATAAATTAGAGCAAAATCACAGAGTCTGCCTTGTCCCATAGATTAGAGCAGGATCACAGAGTCTGCCTTGTCCCATAGGGCATAGATGCCCTTAAATAATCAAGAATTAGTTTAATTTTACTGCAAGATCTTTCATGGCTGGCCAAGGACGCTGCAATGGTAACATCATCTCAATAGAAATGCGAAACTTATGAAAGACAATCTGATCTCCAAATTGAACAACGACCCTGAAAAGTTCTTTAGGTGATATCATCTTTATGAAGTTACGATTTGACTGCAGCTTTCTGCAATGCAAAATCTCTTCGTATATTTGCTGTACATCAATATCAGTGCTGCAAAATTCACTTACAGGTTCCCACATCTGCTTTAGTTCACTTACCACATCATAGCACAGTCCCCCGACGTCGAGGATAAACCCCAAACATTGCATCTGTGTCATGCAAATGATTGAAACGTTCGGCCATTTCTCCTTGAAGACGGCCGAGTGTTACCTTCATAGCACTATCTATTTCCCCTTTCTCCGTGAATCCAGCATCTATTGAGTTATCACCAGCCCTTCGATTCGTTCCTCTCCGACGCTTATCTCCTTAAACATTCCATTCTTCACAGAGATTAAGTCCCTTGTCTAGTGATTCACTGACCCACACGTCTCGTTTCTCAGTGTTTATCGAAGAGCTTTCAGATCCAGGGCAGCATTATGAAAATTCATGCTAGGGTCGTGTAGCCTCTTTTGAATACAGTCAGTGCAAATGAGAATCGTGTCCTAAAATCCCAGCAATATCGGAAAAAAAAATCTTAACATGCGATTATACTACTGTGTTGCCTCACTTTTTGTTTCACTGGTCTGATTTGCATTGTCTATCATGTCCTGGAGGACTTAGATTATGTCATTTGTATTGTCTATTATGACCTGGAGCACTTGTAGTATGTTTCCGAGGTTCTTGTGGACAAGATTGACTGTCTGTCCTTGCACTTGACCTAGTTTCAGACTCTGAATTTACAATCACGGGGTGGCATGTTAAAGTATTTTTTCCCAACGCTGTGTTGAACGAGAGAAAAAACACGCCAAGGGCTTCAACGGTTCTTAAAAAAAAACCGTCACCATTATTGGTCCCAGCTTAGATGCATGCGCATCTTCCAAGTTGAGCGAGTGTTTACCACAACCAACATACACAGCCAGCTTAACCAACATACACAGCCAGCTTAACCAACATACACAGCCAGCTTAACCAACATACACAGCCAGCTTAACCAACATACACAGCCAGCTTAACCAACATACACAGCCAGCTTAACCAACATACACAGCCAGCTTAACCAACATACACAGCCAGCTTAACCAACATACACAGCCAGCTTAACCAACATACACAGCCAGCTTAACCAACATACACAGCCAGCTTAACCAACATACACAGCCAGCTTAACCTACATACACAGCCAGCTTAACCAACATACACAGCCAGCTTAACCAACATACACAGCCAGCTTAACCAACATACATAGCCAGCTTAATTAACACACACAGCCAGCTTGTTTGTGTCATTTGTTCTTTGTTGGACACCATTTCAGTGTCCACACTCACATCAGCGTTGTCATGGCGATGGGATCGACAATTTCCTTGTTCCATGTAATCCTTCTCTACCGGTTTCCAAAATGTTTTGAACAAAGCTCTTAGGACTCTTCTGGCGTATCTGGATAAAAACCAAATTAGGGCTCTTTAACACATATCTCTTTCCTCTCAAAATCAACTTCTAGTCAAGTCAAACATGATACAATAGGACTTGGCTCTACGAATGTTTCTCGGTGAATTCTGACGCACAGTGGTAGCCATCAGGTGGATGAACTCATTCTGCACACCAGGAGAGAGATACGACGTGAGTCCAACATGGTCTCTCACATATGTCAAGTTATATTTCGTCAGAGGGTGAACAACAGTCCGTAGCTTCAATAAACGAAGAAAATGTCCCCACATTGGAGCCACGATCGTCTTGTTGATGTGATTCTCTGTGCCGTGCCCACGCAAAGCTAGAGCACTGAGTTCCAAGGAATTTGATGCAAAGGAGGAATCTTGTCAAGATATCACGCCACTCCTGCTTTTACTTTTGCATCTGTCTGAAGTTTCATATCAATAACTCTGTTTGCAACTTCCCGCCCACTAATCCAGTGGTTCTCAACCTTCCTATTAATGCAGTTCTTCATGTTGTGGTGACCCCCAAACCATAAAATTATTTTCTTTGCTACTTCATGAATGTGTG